TGTAGAATGTTATAATGGAATAATATTTACTTAATTGTCAATACATTATGTAGTTCTGCTACTGTTTAAATTTGCTCAAATACATGAGTATAAGTTGATTGAGGATTAAAAATGTCTGCTGCATTTATATCATATATATATTATATAGTATATGTGTATCGATTAATTCCAATCCCTTTCAATTGATGCGTCATTCAACTCTTTTTATTTGTCGTCGGCTCCTGCTATTGATACTGCTGCATTTAACCGCCGAAACCGTACAGAGTGCGTCCCTGGCGCTTCAAGGCGTAGACCACGTCCATGGCTGTTACGGTCTTGCGCTTGGCGTGCTCGGTGTAAGTGACAGCATCACGAATGACGTTTTCCAAGAACACCTAAAGTATTATTATATATTAGGGTGGTTGTGCTTTTTTAACTAAGTGACTAAATGACTTGCCTTGAGTACACCGCGTGTCTCCTCGTAGATCAATCCAGAAATACGCTTGACTCCACCACGACGGGCCAGACGCCTGATAGCCGGCTTAGTAATACCTTGGATGTTATCTCGCAACACCTTACGATGGCGTTTGGCACCTCCTTTGCCCAATCCTTTACCTCCCTTACCGCGTCCAGTCATTTTGCTGATAGAAGTTTAGATTTACGTTGTGCTGTAAAGATACATACATAAATTTCATCATTAGATGGCTCAATGCAAAAAGAAAAAAACAGGAATCGCCATTTTGATATGACGCCATATTTAAAATGCAAATGAAAGCAAAAATATTTAGGTACATTGTGTTTTATGAGCACGCAAACAGCGAGTGAAGTTTAATTATTTGCTAACAATGTAAGTCAATAAAAATGTTTGTTCTATTTTTTTTTTTTTTACAATTTGTTGCTGGAAACGCTCACCAACCTTTCGAGAAACTTTTTAAGCAATGTGACTGTGCTATTGAAAGCGTTTATCCCAAAATATAAACCTTATAACACGTACATATATAAGGCAAAAAATACCAAAACACAGGGTGACTTGGTTTGGTGAATTTTTTATATTTAAGCTTACACATTTAAAATACAAGTATTCTTTGCACTGTTATTTCAAATACTTATATATTTAGCTTAGCTGCCAGCAAGACTCATAACTGTACGATGTAGCTGCTTTTTTTGGTATTTAGCAATTACTTGCATAATTTCCATTTTTGCATCGATTTTTAAATTTTCGTTCAGCTCAAAAACATCTTGTGCAACGGCCATGCCATAATGAAAACTTGGCGTGCTTTGGACATCATCTATTACGGGCTCGATGGCGATAGGTGTTGTCTCCTCAACTTCGGCATCATTATCCTCCATTGGAACATTCAGCTCCTCAATTCCAACTTGCTTTGGCGTATTTTCTATGGAACTATTGCATTGTGACATGTGTTCACTGGTTGACTGTGCGGGACTTCCAGAGTCGACATTAGTTTGCCTTTCCTCAACCACGCCAGAGCTGACATTATCCGAGTCCTCTGTGTTGGCGCTATCATATAGATTTTCCGCCTACCGTTTCAGTTTACAATATTTTAAATTAGATACAATATCATTAAATTTCAAATATACTTACATCCACACTGTTCTTATCGTATACCACGAAAGGTAGAAACTTGAGTTGTTGGAAGAACTTCCACCCTTCCAGGCGCTTTATTTCCTCAGGCTGGGCTCCTCGCGCATTTGCATCGAAAATGGCCTTCTGCTGCAGACGGTAATACGAAGCTAGATTTAGCCATTTCCGAGCCAACTCGTTTGTGTACGCACGAAACTTGTATCTTTTTTCTAGCGTCCATCTCAGGTTTTTCCAGAAGTTGTGTTTCAAATAACGGATGCTATAATCTTTGTGCGTCTTGTCCCACATATAGGGTGTATTGCGAATTGTTGTAATAACGAAAATAATCACTTCATCGGACCAATATGGTCTCGTATTATCGTTCAAATTTGTCATTTGTAATGATTAGTAGTTAATTTATTTTTATTTAATTTTAACTTCTTTGGATTGTCTACACTTAATCCAATTTTCTTACAAATAGCAGCTGTTTCAACAAGAGCGAGACAAATATATGTACGTGTGTTTATCGTCTCTAAAAATTACCAAAACAATAACAGTTATGAATGAAAGAAATTGTATTGTAATGCAACAGCTTATTTAAAGTTAATATCAATAAAGGAACCCTTTCGTTTGCCATAACTCTTACATCAAACAATCAATCCATTTTTTCTGATTGTTGAGTAAATTCGCCATTAGTATCGATACCTAGTTCATTATTTGTATATTGGTATCGATAATGTTTGCTATCGACTTATCGATAGCTTGGCTTAGTATTTTCATTAGAAAAATGTTGGCATTTCGGCGAGTGGCACTGTTGGTCACACCACAAACAACGCAAGTGCAGTCGAAAAAAAGCATTGAGTGTAACAGACGCGTTTTTAACGCTAGTTTTTTAACCAAAACAAGTGTAAGTGAAGCGGAGCAGAAGTGAAAAATCTAATTAGATCTAAATAAAATGCACATGCTCGGTTATATAATGCAATGAATGCAGACACAACTTTGTCGCGTCTGCGTGTATTTATGCGAGTGCAACGAAATACTTTGGTCGCCTCAGTCTTCTGCTGCTGCTGACCAACAGTAAAAAAGACCAACGCGTGTGCCGCTGCCGCTGGTTTCGTCGCCGCTGTCGCAGTCGCCGTCTCCGCCGCTGCTACCGCCTGCAAAGCAGAATTTGTCGCCGCCGTGAAACGAGCGCCATCGCAGCGCAACGCAGAGTTTCGCCGTGACTGCATAAAGAATAAAATATTTTACTATTGAACCGCGTGTCTGGAATTCTAAATAAACGCATATATATGTATAAATAATATGTAAAATCGTGTTGCGCATTTGTGTGCGTGTGTGTCTGTCTGTGTGTGTATTTGCGTGGGTGTATAAGCGGCCGCATTTTGCTTTATCTTTATATCTTTCATCAACACAGGCGCAAGCCAGATGATTCATTTGTTACACACTCGGCGGCCGCTCAGCTGTCGATGTCTGCCTCTCCACGCGCATCCTGCTAGCACACACACACAAACAAACATAAGCACACACACACAAGCAGACGCATATACGCATAGTCGGATGCTCGTATACGTATATTCGCCCATTTGTTAAATTAACCGTAAAACTCAGTCGCCAGTCAGCTCTGTTGTCTGTCTTCTTTTCGCCGGCTGCTTTCCATTTCCATTTCTATTTCTATTTTTACGCGTGTTTCAGTTTCGGTCCATTCCCTAATTTTAAATCGATTTGTTTAAACTATTTAATCCTGTTTAAAATTTTATGTTTCTCCTATCGAAACACTAGCAATTGTATTAATTCAACAGTTATTCAATTTAAATTGCAATTTAAAGGTAAGTTTTTCTTATATGTACTGCATGTAATTGTTAATTGTTGTTAAGCTTACCGTTGTAATCTGATATTGAAGTGGCTTTCATGAAATTCAAGTTGATAATTAAAGTTAACAGTCGTTTGAAAATCGCTCCTAATTCTATATAATTATATCTATATACATATGTATGTGTATATATGTACATGATATACGAATATCATATTCTTTCGGTTGTATTTAGAGAGCTTGAAAATAGCTTTATCTTTGTTTTTATTCATCGTAAATAGCATTCAAGTGCTATACTCCAAGATATTTACGTATCGATAGACATTTTGAATTATCAAATACTTTATTTTTATTTGTTATAAATATTCTTTGAAAAAGGAAGAAGTATATTTTGCTCATGAGCATTCCTTGTTCGCTTGTCAATTGCATTTTGCATAAAGTTGTCTCACACTTCAAGCTACAATTATTCTTGTACAAAGACTTTTCCATATGTAAACAGTCCAAGTTGTGTGTGTGCGCATGTGTATGTGTGTTTACACTGAAGAGCTGCGAAACAGAAAAACTAGACCATAAACATAAATGTCATTCACGGCTGCCATTAGCGTAAAACAGCAGAGGAACGCAACAAATGTAAATCCAGGGCAAAAAAAAAAAAAACAATGCAAAAAGAAAAGAACTCAAGGAAAAACGAGAAAAAAATATAGAGCAAAAAGATGAAAACCCTGAGCCGATAAGCAAACTGCAGTCAAATGTGCAAGCAAAGAACTGAAACTAAAACAATTGGAAGAGGGCAACTCCCAGCTCTAAGCTGCCAACTGGGAATCCAAGCACAAGTCGCCGGAAATGGGTTTTGGCAAAAGCGCAACAAAGTCTAAGATAAAAGACATTGAAATACAATAACAATAAATGTCAGAAACTGGAGCAATTTCAATTGAGCACAGAAGCTATGAAATTTATAGAATATGACATCATTTAGGGTGTAACAAATAAATATGAAAATTTCAATTCCAAGTTTGAAATTGAGCCGGGAAAAGCTGCCAAATATGTATATGTATATAATACACTATATCTATTCCTGTAAATGCTATACTAGATATTTAGATTGAAATTTAAAATGCTCTTCAGATAATGCAATGTGCTTGAACCACTTGAAAGCATTGAATGATGGCAACAAATACAAAGCAAAGACAAACTGCTAATCAAACTTGAGATATACGATAGTTAAGTGTATTAATACATGTATATATATCTATATATAGACGGTTCTAGGGTCACGCAAATTATTACTATTCATCTTTCATATGGGAATAGGCAAAGGTAGCCAAAGATTACACGTTATCTCAGCACACTTTCAGATAATCTAAATTTATATATGGAGAATTTGCTGACTTTCGCTCTAAAATATATGCTCGAATAAATAGAGATAAGATATGTGCTTTTATATTTTTATACCCTGAACCCATTGAAAATGGGAAATCAGGGTATAATGG